AAATTAACAAAGTCTTTCCTAGACTCAGAATAGGGGACAAATACGACTTAAGTATGCGTCCTGTTTATTTTAATGGAAGGAAATGTCCTGCAGGTTAAGGAGGAGGCGGGACTTTCACGAAACGCGAGTGGAAAGAGCCACCGCAGCGAAGAGCCAGTGCGGATGGAGCCAGAGATGCTCCAAGCTCGCCAGCACCGCCTTCCCCTCCCTTAATGTATATCCGCGCCGGCATCAACAGGGACGGCTCCGCCAGGGGCGGGCGGTTACGTAAGGGAAAATCTGCATTCCTTGCGTAACTCGGCTCTTTACATAACCCCGGCCCCGGCCCCCGAGCGGGGAGAGCGGCAGCGGCACCGGCGGAGCGCAGCGCCCGGCACTGCCCGCCCCAGCGCAAAGGAAACGCGCTGGTTCTGCCTAAAGGAAAGGAAATAAAAAAGATGGGAGATGTCACAGACTGCAGATTCCCATAGCTGATAGGTTAGGTGGGCTTTATGGAAAGAAGACAGGAGGTTTTGAAGTAGTTTTTCATATGGAATCATGGAAGCATCAAGTTTGGAAGAGACCTTCGGGATCATCCGGTGCCCCATGACGCCAGCACTGCCCTGTAACCCCGAAGCCACACAGCCACATCACCCAGACCCACCTGGAACACCTCCAGGTGATTCCATCACCTCCCTGGGAAGCCCATCCAACATCTGACCTCCCATTCCAACATCTGACCATGCAAACAGTGAAAACATAAATACAACACAGGCCTGGCCACAGCGATTTTACACAGGCAGATTGGACAAAACACTTCCCACTCCCAGTGGAAGTTTAAGTTTCTACAGGAGAATGAGAAATTTTTCTGTTGGACTTCTTGCCAACTCTGCTTGCTTAGCACTAGGCAAGGAACACAGAGAAAGTTTATTTGGGCTGTAAGTGGTCACTAGGAATCCCCACGTACAAATGAACTCAGGTTGGAGGTTGCAGAGTTTCACTGACACTTGGGAAAGGAGAGATTTGGAAAATACACTTGCAAAACAAAGAGAGGATGGGGGATAATTTGGGGACAGGGAAAGCTACGGTTCAGCAGCACCTTGCCTGGAGTTTATGTAAGGACAAAAGTTCAACAACACTTAGCCCAGAGTTTATTTAAGGATATGTGGCCTTTGTGTGAAGTCATGTTTGAACCCTATCTTGCATTTCCCAGTTCCTGGGCAGTTACGTGCTCCATCTGCATCCCACAGACACCTGTTCTTGGGGAAGGAAACTTCCAATGTGAGGGCCAAAGAACGCAGATGCAAACCTTTATCACAAATGATTACAGAAAATTTAATGGTCAATAATAATACAAATGCAGAACTGAGTAGCACTTAACTGTTTGCATTTCTCTACAAACATAATAGGTAAACTAATTCTAAACATACAGGTGAGATTTCTGTACTGATTTTTACAGAAATCACCTGATTCAGAATATTTTTATTTTAGGGGTCCCCAAAATAGACCACAGAGTTCTCCTCTGTGAGCTGTAATTACACTGTTTTATTATTTATCATGCACTGTCAGTGTCTAATTTATTAGAGTGTTGCTTGCTGAATATTTTATTTTATGTGCATTCCGAGCAAATAAAATTCCTCTTAAAACAAAGTTGAGTAAAAGGGCATTGTACATCAGAGTTGTGCTTAAAAACAATTTCTACTACATTGAAATGTAGTAGACATAGATTTGAAATGCAACTTTCAGAAAATCCTGTTTTATAAATCAGATTTAAGGTCACTCAGCTACACATACAGGTTTATCTCCTGCATTCAGATCTCTCCTTCTTTGAACAGCTCCAGAATTTCAGATAAATTATGTATACAGTCAGAGAAAGGCAGACTTCCATCTGGGGTAACTACTTGCAAAGTCCAAGCTAAGCAGGTTTGAGACAAACTGGTTTTAAACCAGCATTTTACACAGCTGTTGTGCCAAAGGCAGTTAGCAGATGCCAGCAAAGAATTTGCCAAGTGGCTGGAAAGAAATCTTTCCAAACATCCACATGATGACTTACCATTCCAAACATATCAGAGTCCCATCTTCCTTGTAAACCTTTCTTGTGCAACAAAGTATTACAGTGTATTTTATTTATAAACTGACAGAAAACTTCTTTTATGTTGCTTCAGACTCTAATTATTAGGACTGCACTAATTATTAGGTACTTTCCCAGTTTATTTTTAAAGCAGTGGCTGAACAGTCACATCCTTTTGCAATTTCTGTGGTTCTCACTTCCATTTCTGTTTTAAACAAACTGGTTTATGTTTGCATACTCTGTGTGTTTTACCTTATAATAATTATACTACAGGACAGTTATACTCACAGGGATCCTTTCAGAAGGGAGAATGTCACTTGGCTGAAAACCCCCCAGGAAGTGGATTCCACACCTAGAAATCTCAGTTCTAATGTCACTACGAATCATTTAAAAAACATTTTGCATTTTATATAAGCCTAGTAGTATCTTGTATGTACATATTCCAATTACTGAAGATGGAGTTTATAGAAAAGCTTGGTCTAATCAAAATTTCTCCTCTTAGTTCTCATCTCACATCCCACTTTCTGGGATGGCCTTGAACAATCTCCAAAACACAAGAAATTTGTTGTTTTTATTTAGAGTAGGAGACATACTTCTAGATTTACAAATTCTTCCTTAACTCAATACTGAGAAAGACCAAAACGTCTGTACCAAGAGTTCTTAGCTGCTCTAATTCAATTACAGGACTAAATACTCATATACCAAATTCATTTCTGCAGGCTTTTAGAAAACCAGTGGATAAGAAATATGATGCTTTTTGATTTACTGACTTCATGAAACTGACAGACATGATTGGCTTTGTATCATTCAATCATTCAGTGGAGCAATTTTCTCAGTTTATGAATTAGTAAAATTTTCTATATTATTTGGTTTAAAAAAGGAATAATTCTTCCTTTACATTGATAACACAATTCAACTGCATTTCACATTTGGCAAAAACCTCCCCTGCAGCTTTTGGAGATAACTTCTTTTAACTGTGAGGGTTTTTTTTCTGTTGGAATATCAGTAAGTCTTCAGTAAGTAAATGCATGTGTGCCAAGCATATCATTAACTGAACTGATTGAAGATCAGAAAAACAAGCAGTAGATCTAATATCACTTGGGTGCCACTAATGGGTACTTTATAGAGTGAAATATTTCATTTGATCCATTAGTGTTTTGTTGTTATCAATACCACAGGCAGTTGTATGAATCTATTTACAAAATGAATTCAAACTCCTTTAGCTTTTAAGACACTGCTCAAATGAAAGCAGTCTCTCCTACAACTGCTGAAACAATTACAAGTGAAAATGAGAGACCATTTTGATGAATATGCATTCCAGCAGTAATCATCTCCCAGACAAGACTTGTCTGTTTCTAAAAATAAATGTTAATAATACAGATGTAAATTCAGGGGAAGTTTATTATTTTGTTCCATTCCTCTGTAAATGTTGACATTTAAAACTTTTACTGCATTTCCTCTTGTTAAAATAGACAGACTGCAGAAGAGAAAATACCATGTGCACTGAAATAATCATGAATGTATTACTGTCACCAAAATAGTCTCTAAAGCAGGACTAAAAGTAAGTTGAAGGCATACTAGAAATACATATTTTAAAAAATAATAAAAATAAATGTGATCAGCTGTAACTTGGTAAAAAGTCGTGGATAACTTTTTCTTGTATAGCAAGATTTAAAAGACTAAAATAAGCACATTTTTACAAAGTGCAAAATTTACCTGAGAGAACCAGTGCTTGCTGCACAACAGAAGGGAACCAACACCCAGGTGGCTTCAGAAAGTACTGACATTTTACAGTGGGAATCCCAACATTTAAAATAACTCTGGAGACACTTGCACTACCTTCAGCATGTGGTGTGTAAAAGTACAGCCTACCTACAAACAGGGCTGGCAGACAGGCTCCTCATGGGGCAGACAAGGTGCTGAGTGGCATCACTGAGGCGTTCTAAGGTTTAGTGGTTGAGGTTTTGTAGGTGCCAATGGAAGAGTACAAACAACAACATCTGTGTCTATTTCACCGTCAGCTCAGTGTTACTGCCATTCCTCAAGGATGCATGTGAACTGTTCATTAGGAGAGCAGAGACTGGACAGGAAACTGGACCCACCAGTCAAATGTTTGCTCTTAGGTAATTGACCATAGTAATTGTTTCTGCAAAATATGAGAGCACTTGAAGTATTTTCTTGTTAATTTGCTGCCATTACCCTACCCTTACAATCCACCCTGCTCTTATTAGAGATCTTGCAATAGTATTTTCTTAATGCCTCAATTACTGTAGATGCATTTACTCAGCTATGATCTCAGTTTGCTTTTGAAGTTTTCCAATTTACTACAAAAGGGAAGCTCATTTAAATACTCATGGTCACCTACAACAAGTGCCCTGTATCCTATACACTTAGGGATTTGTACTTCAGCGCTCCGAGAAGCCTTTTCTTTGCTAATGCATTTTAAGTTCTCCTTTCTAGCTTTGCCAACATGTGAGCTCACACTGCAACGTTCTCTCTCTTCACTGGGGGCACATGGAGCTGCCCATTTGTGTGTAAGAAAGCTGAGAAACTGTTATCTCTCAAACCGTTATTTTTTCACTGCGGTTGGCACAAAGTCAGCATGAGACAGAACTCTGCCAAGCTCTTGCATCCCACAGAAGAGATTAAATCAAGTGCAGAGGCAAGGCTGATGTGCCAAGCTGAGGACAGAAAACCAAAAGGCTGTGGGACACCTGAATCCAGCAGGCAGGGCAGAATAATGATATGATGGACACCAAGCTTAACCTTCCAGACAAACTGCCCTGATAGCAGTTTGAGCAAGTTCAGACACCTGGCTGGGAGAAAGGAAAGAAGCAGAACTAACAGATCAGGAATTAAGGGGTGTATTGAATGGCCAGCAGCAACAGGTGTGCTTTACTCACATCTCAAATGGGCAGGGCAGCTGTGAGTCACAGGTACAGACACTTACAATATGTGGTTTCCTGGGTGGCAGATATTTTTTCAGGGTGTTGCCAGCAGCAGCTGATGAAGACATCCACAGTTACTGTGGGAAAAGCACGTACATGCAGCATAAGTCCTTTTTCCATGCTGAGAAACAATGCCTATTTTTGTAGTATTGTTTTTAAATATTTCGTTTATTATTATGGCTGACTCATTTTTGAATGCTTTGAATTGCTATGTGTCTCATACAACAGCTGTGGCCATAATTCTTACCCTTTTTTATGACCACACCAAGAAGAAGGGGCTGCCACTTGTCTAAGAATCAAAATATCCGCTCTTCTTTGCAACTCAAGACTTTTGGGATGGAAAACTCCTTTCTTTTTACTTCATTTCTTCACTAGCTGTGTGAAGTAAAGGAGTTTCCAAAGCCAAAATCCCCTGAGGTTTACGCATGGAGCATTTCTATGCCTACCAAGCTGGAGGGACACAGAACTACCTGATCCCTCAGTTTTGGGACCTCTATCTTTAACTCTGCTTGTCTTTTTACACCAACTACCTTCACTCACTGCATTCCCAGTGCTTTCCTGCATGGTAAAGATACTTTTATATCTAAATGTTTTCAGGTTAGTCTCCAAGTATTGCAACCCAAAGTCACAAAAAACGTCCCTAGAACTTTCAGCTTCAGGGCCCAGAATCTCTCAAAATAAGGTCAAATTATTTTACATATTAATATCCTCATTCCTGCTGAGTCACGCTGGGTTTGAGCTTCAATTATTTACTTTGGCCTATGTACCCGGAAAATTTCTTGGGGTTTTGTTTGTTTATTTTTTAATATAGATGAGCACCTGGACCGCGTTGCTACACTGAAGGGCAGACGCTGTTGAAAACACTTCTGACTGGGACACATCGCCAGCAAACTTACCGGCTGTCATTCTGCACTGGCCTCACGACTTTCTGGTCTCGAACCCAAGTTCTCTACATTAAAGTGCTTTTGGAGGAGTTTTGAAACAGGCGCTCGGGAAGACGGCACCGCTGAGGCGAATCCAGGTGGGGCTGAGCTCCTGCCCCTCCTTCCCTGCCTGCCTGCCTGTCGCGCCGGCTGGGGGCCATGTGACAGCGCGACTTCTGCCTTCAAGCCGCCGAAGGGG